GTGTCCGAATCCTGGGTCGAGCCCCGCCCCCTGCTCCGTGAACCGCACACACAAGCCCGCCCCACGACCCTCCCAGGCCAGGAGCAGCCCCTATCCTCACAGCCGTCATCATCAAACAGCAACTGCAAGGAAGTCAGTGAAGTTTGCAGCCTTAGATGAATCCAAGCCGTTGCTGATAGAAACATGAGTATCTGGATTTACTGCCCATCGGACCCCGAGGGAGAGAACCTGACACAAAGCCCCGCAGGACCGTTATCTAGGGCTCAGCTGGGGGCATCCACTGTCATTCATGCCCGACTGCAACCGAGTCAGCCAGCCGCGGCATAATTCTAAACTGTACATCGCAGACTCATAATGCAATCATGTCCACAACAGTCGACTCTGATTCTTAAAAACGTCTATTTAAGGCCAAGACAGAGGAGGCTGCACACACCCAGGACGGAGGCTGGAGGCCAGAAGCCGGCGCAGGAGCCGCGTCCGGGTGTGACCTGTGACCGCCTCCTGCAGGCAGCTCTCCCTCCCAGAGAAGTTGCCTGCCCCGTGGGGGAGCGGAGGGGACTGGCCGGTCATACTCCTCGCCCCTCCCTCCATCCACAGAGACACCAGGGCCAGGCCATAGGCTCAGTGGCCCGTGAGCCCAGCTCCCGTGTGATGTTCCCTCTCGGGCTGAGGACACAGGAGGGAGGGAGGGAGGGAGGCCTAGAGGTGATTTTCGTGGCAGGAGGGGAAGCTGTGATGCTGTGGCCGTGGCCATGGCGACGGGCAGCATCCTCACCAGACTGCTGAGCACCATGGCACTGGTCCAGCCCCAAGCCTGGACCCTGGAGAGAGGAGGGTCCACGGGGCATTTGCCAAATAACGCAGCCATGGGATGGAGGCAGCCACGGGACGGGAGACGGGCGAGGTTCACCCTGAATGTAATCCTCCCAATGAACTGCAAAGCGAACACCAGCTCTGTGAGCTTGCAGTGCCGATGGACGAGGAACAGAAAACTCACAGTGCATCTTCAGGGATCACTGCAAATATAACCTGTATTCAGAACACTTCCCTGCCGTGGAAACGCGAGAGAAGCTTCAGGATCCCCAGACGCTGGCACTAAGCTGTGAGCCTGAGCGCGAGGCGCGTTTGGAAGACACTGTGCTGGTATCATCCCTGCAAGGACTGAAGAGCATCAGAGCGCAGTGCGTCCGTTTCCTCCCCGAGAATAAGAGCGAGCTCTTCCCCAAGTAAGTTACTCTGCAGGCGGAAAATGCGCGTCTGTCAGCGCTGCCATCTCAGGCCTTGCTCTGCAATCCCCGCCTTCTCTGGGCTGAAGTCGTTTTAAACAATGAGCTGTGGGCCGCGCCTCCTGCGGAATGGGATGGGCAGTCGGAGTTCTTTTCAGCAAATAAAGTCGCGATCCCTCTATTCAGGCCCGGAGGCCAGTGCCAGGTGGGGCTCAGCCGCTGGCACTAAATGTAAGGTTATTCCTCTGCCCTCTCTGCCCTTCTGGGATGTGGGTTTCAGCCCCACAGGAAGACGGACGCTTTCTGAACACACCGGTTAAAGAACCCGGTCTCTCTGAAGTCACTGAGCTGTTTGCAGGGCCAGGAAGGGCACGAGACAACCCTCAACCCTGGGCATGTCTCCCAGGCCGGCCTGGAAGCTGCTCAATCGCCTGTCCCCTCTTGGGGGGGGAGGGTAATAATTTACCTCTTTGCCTGCGTTCTACCTGCACCAACCCTGGGCATGTCTCCCAGGCCGGCCTGGAAGCCTCTCAATCGCCTGTCCCCTTTTGTGAGGGGGGGGGGGTAATAATTTACCTCTTTGCCTGCGTTCTACCTGCAACGCGCTCCCCTCGGAGGTCAGTGTGGGGAATGTTCCCGGGGAAGAGCAGCCTCGCTCCCCGAGCCCCTGAGGGAAGAACTGCTCTCCAGACCTGGTGTGAGCAGAGCCCTCCTGGCTCCATCACCGCTTCCCGGTTCTGGTTTTCCCTGTCATGGCCTCTCCCAGGCTGTCCTGCCTGCAGCTGCACCTGCCACCAGACCCTCAGGGTTTATCTGCACCACCTCCTGTTCCGTCTGAAATGGCCTGGTCGACCAGCTACCTGGCCTGTGATGGCTTCTGTCATCCACAGCCACTCATGGGCCTCCGTGACCAAGAGCCCTTTTGATGTTTTATCTACAAAGACATCCCAATACCCACGGTCATCTAGGTTTTATCCTATGCTATCTGCTTGGAGTTTGTAATTTTGTGTTTCACATTTAGGTCTGTGATCCATTTTGAGTTAATTCTGTGCTGGGTGTGAGGTCTGTGTCTAGCTTTACTTTTGTAAGAAGCTACCCAGTTATTCCAGCTCCCGTGGCTAAAGGGACTGTCCTTTCTCCGTTGTGCTGCCTCTGCGCCTCTGTCAAAGATCAAGTGACTGTATTTATGGGGTCTGTTCTTGGCTTTCTGCTCTGTCCCGTTGCTCTACTTGCCCATTATTTCACCAACAACCCCCCGCCCCCCATGGTCACGGCAGCTTTATGATAAGTCAAGACCCCCGAGTGTCAGGCCCTCCACTCTGTTCTCCTCCTTCAATACTGTGCTGGCCACTCAGGGCACGTGGCTTGTCTCCATAGAAACTTCAGAATCATTCTGTCGATAGCCACAAACCAACTTGCTTGAATCTGGTTGGATTGCATTGAATCTATAGGTCAAGTTGGGAAGAACGGACATCTGGTCAAGATTGAGTCACCTCCCCAGGAACGTGGACCATCTTTGCATCCATTCAGGTCTTCTCCGACTTTTCATGAGTGAGGTGGGTTTCCTTACATTTATTTTGTACATTTCTTAGTCTTAGGTCTCAGCGTTTCTCCTTATTTGGGTGCTTATGCCCATGGCGTTGGGTTGTTAACTTCAGATTTCAGTGGTTCTCGCTGGTGTGTCGGAAAGTGATGGCTTTTGTGCATTAAGTGTGAGCCCTGCAGCCCGTGCTGTAGCCACGTCAGTTCCAGGAGATTGTTGTTCTTGAGTCGTGAGCCCTGCAGCCCGTAGCCACGTCAGTTCCAGGAGATTGTTGTTCTTGAGTCTTTGGCATTTCTACACATACAGGCATATCTTCTGTGAGCAAAGACAGTTTATTTCTTCCTTCCCAAACTGCACAACAACTCTTACTATTTTGATAGCTAACTTTTAATTGCCAGGATCCGATTGTTAGATCTGATGATGATCACGTCCGATGATTAGAGGAGTAAGAGCTGTTTCCAGCGGGAAGTGGACGGGGGTGGCCCAGCGGGTCAGTCACAGACCCTGCTTACCAGGCTGGGAAGGGAGTGGCTGCGCTGGGAGGTGGGCATGGAGGCCTTGGGGTGGAGGATATCCTGTCGTGACTGCTGTTGGGGAGCTCGGGAGACAGACATACGAATGTTTGTGAGCTCTCTCACCTTGGTGACTCCTGTTAGCCAGTCATTATTCCTTCAGCGTATCTGAAATGCAGGTAATAGTAAATGTTATGTTCAAAGTTAGAAACCTTTACAACCATCAATTAATATATTTCTCTGCATATTGGCCTTGAATAGAAATTCGAGGCAGAAATAATGCTGACAATTTTATTAACCAATGTCACCCCAGTAAATTCAATAAAAAAGAAATAATGCTGAGAAATCCATCCCATTAAAAAGAAAGAGCAATTACTATGGGACCACATTACTATGTGGTCCCTCCACATAGTAATGAAAAATTACCATTATCCTAGTGAAAATGGAGTGCCAGCGCACATTCCTTCCTCCATCAATTATGACCCATTAAGTCCTAGGAAGTAATCTGGAAATGACCGGACTGCATCAGCGGCCCCATAGTCTTCTAAACTATAAGGTGTGCCTTTTGACCCCTAGTCACTCTGATGGGCTGTGTGACCTGGTGGGCGTGCTCTGAAAGACAATCTGGGGGGAAAAATATAAAAAGAACATAAAATTTCCTGTGATCAATGTCAATTCTCTTAAAAGTTCATAATGTCTATTTCAAAATGTCTCAGAATTAACCCTCCTGAGCCAGGCTTTCTTCTCGTGTTAAGAACTTATTCCCACTGTGACCTTGTTTCTACCTGTGCTGTGTTCCATTCCTGTGACGTCCCCACTGCTCACAGGGCTGCGGGACCAAACTTTGCTTGAACGTGTGCGGTCTGGGCTGCCTCCGTGTCACAGGCCCTCCGTTAAGTCCCCATCTCCAGCGGCCACAGAACTTGTTGAAAAGCCCAGGGTATTTGGGGGAGGGGGGGAGGAGGAGAGAGAGAACCATGAAGAGAGGGAGCCTGCCCTGGACGTGAAGGCACCCACGGGGATAGCAGCTGGGATGCCCAGTCTGAAAGAGATGGATGTGGGGACCTGTCCACTGAACACTCGTAACAGTCGATAACTTTCATCCGGTCACTGACTTGTCATAACTTCGCATCATTGTCGTCATTATGGCCCAGCATGTGTCTTTGCCTGTGAACGGAACCGTGACCTCCTTGGTTCATAGGTCGATGCTCAACCACTGAGCCACGCCAGCTGGGCAACATAGATGAACATTAAATACATATGACTAATGAAAGACAAACTTGAGAAGGCTGCATATTGTGATTCCAACTATGTGATGTTCTGGAAAAGGCAAAATTATGGAGACGATAAAAATGAGTGGTTAGCAGGGGTGAGGGGAGGAGGGATGGGCAGGCAGAGCACAGAGGATGTTCAGGGCAGGGAAACCATTTGTGATGCTATAATGATGTCATCATACATTTAACCCATAGAATGTGCAACACCATGACCCCTCACTCACACCGTGGACTCTGGGTGACGAGGTGTCAGTGCAGGCTCCTCGGCTGTAACAAATGTCCCACTGGGTGAGGATGCTGATGGAGGGAGGCTGTGCCTGTGTGGAGCTGGGGCCACATGAGAAATCTCTATACACTCCCCTCCATTTTGCCGTGAACCTTCTCTAAAATACCTAGTATGAAATCTTAATAAAAAATTCTATGCTGTATAGAGTGTAACCCACCGATTCTACCTGCCTGTGAAGAGAAATCCTCACAGTGTGCATGGAACACCTGTTTATGTATTTAAATATTATTCATGAGAGAGGCAAAATTGAAGGGCATAATTATAGCATCAAGAACCGTCACTTCCAGCTAGATTAGAGGCCGTGGCTGCTGAAGCTGGCGTAGGTGGGCCCTTACTGAGGAGTTTATGAGGTACAGTCAGCTGACGAGCAGATGAGGTCGCGACGAGGAGCCGAGTCCTGAGGAATTGCTGTCATCGCGCCTGCCGCCGAGTCGCGCCCAGAGATTCGTGGATTAATGATCTGTCATTTTCTGTAAACACGCATCTCCAACCCATGAACCCACAAGTATTGCATGAAAATTCCATTAAGTAGGGAATGCATTTCATGTGTGTTGATATCATGTCTAAAAATAGCAAGGGGCCAGTTCAAAAATGCCAGGGTTCCAACCACCATTGACAGAATACATTCCTTTTTCCATCAGTCAGGTTACATGAGCCCAGATGTCGGTCGGCATGGAGGGGCTGAGCAGACGGAGCACGCGGCCTGTCCGGCTGGCCTCCCCACCCAGGAATCTGCGATGTGTGGCTTCTTCATTTAGGACGTGGCCACTCTGAACTGAGAACATGAAATCTCTCCAAACATCCATGTAAGCCCGCGTCCAAACCTCAGGGTCTCATGCTCCATAAAGCCCGACTTTAGCTCACACTTAGCAAACCAATGGATACCCTAACTTCTGTTAACCAGTTAACTACCACACGTCCAAAACGGAAACCATCCCTGCACGCCACGATATTTTGAATTGAATTTAAAAAATCAATTTGCAATGAATATTATGAAAATAAATATATTACAATTCGGGTGTTCTTGAATATTTTCAGCTGAAAATTCTCATGAAAAATGACTTTAAAGTTGGTCAGGGCTGCCACTCAGGGAAAACATTTTTTTTTTAACAGATGCACGTGGCATGTGGGGAAGGTCCGTCGCTTGCGTCTTCAGACGCTCGTGGCATACAACGGGTTAAATTTTATACTTCTCAGCTTCTCTATGAAAACCCATGAGCCCTTGAAAACACAGATTTGGGTGGGATCCAGGACTTCAGGAAGAGGAAAGAATTCAGTGGCTGCCCTGGAAGAGAATCAGAAAACAAACTCAAGAGGGGAGTTGCGGTGTTTTTGAACTTAACTCCGGGCTGTCCTTTGGAATGAAGGCCGAGCCAGAGTGCAGCTTCCTGAACGTGCAAAGGAAAGCGTCTATACAGAGATCTGGAGCCAAAGCACGCTGGACATAAACCCAGGAAGTTTAACTGACCTAGAATGTGGCATATTACAAATTATAAGGACCATTTTCGGGGAAACACAAAGTAATAACAAGACAAGGCCACAAACACTGTGTGAACTAAAGCCAATTATTACATTTCCTGTCCCAGTGCCTTTACTTGTGACGTTAAAACAGCAGCCACAGGGAACCCGGGAAAGTGAGAGAACCCTTCTGATCTGAAATGAGGAACGTTAGAAGACAGCTGAGAGAGAGAGAAACACAGACCATGGTTAGCATAATAGCCTTTCCATTTATTAGCTTGCATTAATTCTGTGTGCCACTGGAAATGTTTATCTTCCCAAAGGTGTCATAAAAATAAAATATTTAGGAAAGAGTGCATATATATGCTTTTAATTACTAACATACATATATCTATATCTATATCTATCTATCTATCTATCTATCTATCATCTATCTATATATATATGCCCTTTAAAATGAAGAATGTTTCCTTTATTTATTTTTTAAATGAAGGATACTATTTTTCACGGAGATTTCTTCTGTGTCTTGGTTGATTAAACATCATAGAATAAAATATTTTTAGATGAATAACTTTAACATAGCTAATTCATAATTAATACTATCATTAACATATCTCAAATGTACTAGAACACTGGAGACCATTTTTCAATAAAAGTTACTATGGGTTTAGATAAGTTCTCCTTTAAGAATAAAAATGATAAAATCTCTGTAATTTTAATATTTATAACTTCTAATTTTCGTATGGCAAAAGTAAGATTCCTTTTTCCAGAGGTAAAAATTCCCAATGCTGTGCACCGGGCAGCGGGCAACGTCCTATTTGCTTCCTGCTGGTTGATGGGGCCGTTTCATGAACTCAGCAACCTGGACCACAGGTGTCCTGGGACCCGGTACAGGTGGGCCGTGGGGACCTGGGGTTTTTAGGAGGCAGGTCTTTTTCGGCGCCTTATCTTGTCCTTCCAACAAGGCTGTGCGTGTGCAATAGCTTTTCCCCCGCTTCCTGTCCTGCTGTGGTCCCTCCACATCCATCTCATCGTCCCATCCCCCATGTCCAGGCTGGTCTCCCAGGGATCTGCTCTCTCCGCCTTGCTTCTCTGAAGCTGTGCAACCACCGACTCAGAAGTCCCTTCTCTAGGGGAGAGTCCCTCCTTTTCCAGGAATAAAAACACCTCCTCCCACCCCCTGTGCTGCACACTTACATTTTTTATCTTGTTATGACATATACCACAGCCCATCCATAAAAATAAATTTACCTCCACAGGAGACATTTAGAAATAGACAAGGGCCCTATAAAGCAGGCAGGTTTATTAAAATTTGAAAGAGTACATAGAGTATTTGCAAGAAGGTGAGTGGGAAAAGTGACAGCAAGACAGTGTGCAATGCTGTGTGACCATTTCCCTGTGGCATCCGTGAGCTATTTACCATGTGGGCACAGGTGAGGTCGTGAGGCCACCAGGGGACTCCCAGGTTGCACTCGTAAAGGGGCGGATTCTTATGCTCAAACTTGATTAAATTCCACCGTGTTCATACACAGCTACTGACGCAGGACAGGCAGGAGGCCGAGGGACAACACACAGCTCAGAACCAGGCTCAGACAGCACAGATTTGGGAAATAGCAAATAGGGTATTTGAAATAACTGAGATGAGTATATTAAGGCCTCTCATAAAAAGGGCAACATTCAAGAACAGATCAGTGATATAAGCAGAGGTGGAAACCAAGAAAGAAAAGGAAATGCTTAAATCAAAAATTCTCTAATGGAATGGAAACCTTTGATAGCTCATGTGATTAAATTCCATAAAATATTATTCATTGTCTTATAGACTTGAATGTCAGTTATTTTTAAAATATATTTTTATTGATTTTAGAGAGAGGAAGAAAGAGGAAGAGAGAGGGAGAGAAACACCAATGACAGAGAAACATCGATCAGCTGCCTCCTGCATGCCCCCTACTGGGGATCAAGCCTGCAACTAAGCTACATGCCCTTGACTACAATTGAACCTGGGACCCTTCAGTCCAAGGGCCAACACTCTATCCACTGAGCCAAATCAGTTAGGGCTAAATGTCAGTTAATTTTAACACAATTACCTACCTCCATAGCTTTTATTTCTTCCAATATGTGTTTCATGTGGGGTCTGCTTAAAGAAGGTCATTTTTATTTTTCATTAAAGCCTGATTATGATATTCTCTCACTTTTTGTCTATAATGGGCTTGTTCTTTTTTAAAAACTATATATATATACATATACATATTTTTACTGATTTCCGAGAGGAAGGGAGAGGGAAAGACAGAAACATCAATGATGAAAGAGAATCACTGATCGGCTGCCTCCTGCACACCCCGTACTGGGGATCAAGCCCGCAACTTGGGCATGTGCCTTTGACCTGGGAATCAAACCCGGGACCCTTCAGTTGGCAGGCTGACGCTCCATCCACTGAGCAAAACCAATTAGGGCTGGCCTTGTTCTTTCTTCGTAAGTTCCAGGAGATTTCCAGAGGTTGGAGTTCAAGGTCAGTAGCTATTTCTCTCAGCACTTTACAAATGTGATTCCATGGTCCTTGATTCTGAGATTACAGCTGGGAAAGCAGTGTCTCGATTCTGTGAATGCGCCTTAAAAATGAGCTCTGTTGCACTTCCCGCTATAAATAGCTTACTTCTCTTTTCATTCCTGTGCTGTAGTGCACCTGAGATTAGTCTTCTCTTTATTTATGCTCCCCAGGTTTTATTGCTCATCTGAATCTTTGACTTGGTAGGATATATTGTTTTGAAAAATTGGTATATTTTCTTTATGACTTGGCCTTTTTTCCCCTTTTCTCAGACTCCAAACACAGTTTGTTCTTCCATGATTTATTATATTACTTTATCACCCTTTCATCTTTCATATTCTTCTTGACCAATGTGTTGAGACTGAATGTTTTCTTCTGATTTAACTGCCCGTGCACAAATCTCACCTGTCACCAAATGCTCCCTTCAACTCACCTGTAAGAGCCTGCAGGTTCTTAATTTTAGAAATTGTTTTCACCAGAATTTCCAAATTTTATTCTCTGCAGTTAAAATTCTCCATCTTGTCAACTAATCTCTTGGAAGTATTTTATTTTTTCTAAATCAGTGTCCGGTAACCAGCGTCCAAAGCTCCCGCCGTTTGATTAGTCCTGGTTAAATTTGTTTTTAAGCCATGAATGTTGTCTCCTGTGTGTTTGCAAACATCTGAGAAACATACAATCCTATATAATAAAGAGTAGTATGCAAACTGTCCCCTTCACTGGGAGTTGTCCGGGAGTTCAACCAGGGGGCGGGGCCGGCCGGGGGAAAGGAGGGAGTACCGACAGGCAGCCGGCAGCCACTAGGGGCCCTGCCAGTGCACACATTTTGTGCGCTAGGCCTCTAAGGTATATAAATAATGTTAGAGAAAATTTGGGACTCTGGGTAGCATCGTCTTTCCCCAAAGAGGAGTCACTTGTGACGGGCGGGTGGCTGGTCAGAGGCGGGTTGTGGGCTGAGGTTGGTCTACAGTGCTGCCATCTTTGCATGCAACCTGCTCTCCTTCCTGGTCATTTGACGTCTGGGGTGCATCCAGTACCCTTCATTAGTGGGTCCTGAGTTCAAATTTGTGTCCCTTCAGGTTCTGAAGATTTAAAAATTATTTTCAGAATTTCTCAACCACTTTGACTACATTTCACTCAGCTTCTCCTGGTACGTGATCAAACTCACGAAAGGAAGAGTGGCCCCCGTCTGTCCTGCTCCATTTTCCCTTCTTTGGGGGAGCTTCCTCACTGCCTTGTCCGTTCTCTGGTATCTGTCAGTTTTGGCTTCTGCATTGTTTTATGCAGGTTCCCAGGTGTTTTGTCTGCAGTGAGCAGTGGAAGTCCTCCTCAGCTCTGCATGCCCTCTGGTTAGGAAAAGCCTCCGGTGACAGTGATGTGGGTGAGGACCTCAGCAGGACAGGAGCAGACCTCCCCAGGCACCTGGAGCAGCTCTGCAGCCCTTCCTTCCATGCACAGCTGCCTGTCAGCCGATGGAGCCACCTGTCAGTGATGGGCAGCATGCAGGGCACCTGCTGGGCCACCACTTTCTCCTGCTCATGTGCTGCTCTCTCTACAGAGATCATGACATGGGTCCAGGATTCACACAGATGTGTCCTTGGTTTCCTGCATCTACTGTTCCTCCTAGGATGGCATTGCCAAACAGATGAGTCATATCTGCAATCCTGTGCACACCCCTGTGCACACCCTTCGCCATGGCTCCTTGTCGCAGACCCTGGACAGCGCCTGTCTGTGAGTCACGTCATTGCAGACACAGTCACTGTTCTCCAGCCCTGAACCCCCCTCACCGGCTAGAGAGGCGAGTGTGCAGCTTCGGGAGGAGTTGGGGACCATGTGTTCCTGTTCAGCGCCAACGGGAGCCCAAGTGCCCAGACAACCCCTCTCCATGTTTCTCTGACGGTAGAAGAAGATGGCAAGTAAAACAGAATTCTTATAAAATGCTGAATATTTTTTGTGATAGATTTCCAAGGCAAAAAATAGAAACTATATTAGAAAAGTGGGCCTGGCAAGAGGAAAGATCCAATGCTAAGCACCTGTCAACATTCCGAATTGCCTTTGATTTTATGCCTGAGAGAGTTTAAAATAGCCACACAAACCTCAGTGAAAAGCAAGTGTATAAGTGAAATAAAATAAGAAATTCTACTACTGTATAAATAATTGGAATTCCATTACATAATAGATTAGAGAGAAGAAAGTGCAGATTCCTTAATATAAACAGAGGGGCCTGTGCAGGATGTGCTCGTCCCGGGCAAGAGACGGAGAACAACGTGAAGCTACTGCTGCAGGTAAAGCTCCCACGGACCAGTTCGATGCAGCCTCTTTTAAAAACAAATGCTCTTCGTGGCTGTGGAGATATTGTTAGGATGGGCCACACTCTTAAAATGATGAAATTGACATTGGTGTAAATAGACAGAGGATGAAGGAAATAAAGTATATGCTCTTATAATAAGTTCTATTGGACAGAGTAATTCTTAAATCAAGAGAATTTCTTAACCTCATGCCTATGTTGTTCAGTGTTAGACAATCTTGGTAAAGGTAATTATTAAGTTACATTAAACAGCTTGTAGTGAAAGAAATCGCAGGAGAGAAACACAACAGGAACATACTTGATGAAAAGGAGGCTGGACTTCTTCTACGGTGGGACAGCGATGAGACACTGCACACCCAGGGCCAGCCTTCTGCCCTCACCACGCCACACCCCTCGCGGGGGTCTCTTGGATGCTTTCCTCGGGACTCTGTGAACGAAGACGGTTTCCACAGACAGAACCGTGTCCTGTGCGTGTCTGTCTCCTTTACAGAAAGAGAAATATGAACCTGGCAAGTTAAAAAATCAAGAAATTTACATCTTCCATAAAAGATCTATTTATTAGGCAAACGCAATCTCAAGCTTCAGAAAAGACTTGTGTAAACAGCTGGTTTAATAGAGCAGAAACATCCATATTAGGAAAAGTAATTTGAGCTGCACAGCCACACTGATTGGGCCTGAACCGGCTGTAGATTCTCAGACAAAATGTTTCTGGCCTTTAAACCTTTTCAAGACGCAATATTCAATGTGCAATGCAGTGCAGAAAGGCGGGCTATGACACCTCCCAGAGTGAAATACAAGCGCTGTGTTGCTGTCCACGGCTGACGCACACTTCTACCTGAGCAGGAGGAGTGGGAAGCAGAGGGAATGTTGTCTGTGCATTAAAAGGAAGAGGGCCTGGGAGAGATGGGCTGGGACATTATAGAAGTAGTAATAGTTATTATCATTTATTAAGCAAAAGCATTCACTCGGCACAATGCACGGGCTTTAGGGCATATTATCACAAATCCTAGGAACCACCCATCAGAAAGGCATTATTAGCCACTTTTACACACAATAAACTAAGACTTGGGCAATTAAATAATAACCCCCAGGCCACGCTGCTGTGAGGGAAATCGTTCATGTTCAAATCCAGTTTTCTCTCATCTAAAACCCGTTTTCCCAGAGCCGCCTTCCAAACACGTGCTGGAAACTCTGTCCTCAGCACCTGTGCTCACCTCCTCCATTGGTAACATATTGTTACTGATTCAATGTCCCCGAAGAAGACAGGGACTACACTTGTTTCCCCGAACTCTTCTTTCTCCTTTTGCATGAAAGGTCTTTGTCTAGGAACAGAAAGTTTTGCAGTCACTGCATTTGATTATGTGTTGTCCTTGGGGTCTCTATACAAATACTAGAGGCCTGGTGCACGGATTCATACACTGGTGGGGTCCCTCGGTGTGGCCTGCGGGGATTGGGCTGAAACCGGCAGTCCAACGCCGCCTGCCCTCCTGCTCATCCTGGCTCCACTGCGCCTGCCGCAGGCTCATGCCCAGTCAGTCCCGATTGGGAGAGGCTTGCGCCACCGCCCGGCGTCTGGTGCCCTTGGGTCAGCTGAGCAGCGCTCCTGATGTGGGAGCGCACTGGCCACCAGAGAGCAGCTCCTGCCTGAGCGTCTGCCCCCTGGTGGTCAATGTGTGTCATAGTGACCGGTCGTTCAGGCTTTTATATATACAGACTGGAGGCCCAATGCATGAATTCATGCACAGGTGGGGTCCCTCAGGGTGGCCTACGGGGATCAGGCCCCAGCTCATGCCCCCAGCCTCACAGCCCTGCAGCCCGCCTGGCACCCCACCATGGCCTGGCGCTGCCCCTTCACCTGCTCCACCATCCCGCCTGTGGGGTGATCGGTCAGGGCCAGGCCCCCTGCCGCCACCAATCGCTGTCTGCGGGGCGATCAGTGGGGTGATTGGGCCCCGCTCGCATCTGCCTTGGCCTGGTGCTGCCTGCTCATCTGCTCCACCATCCGGCCATGGTCCCGCTCTCATCACGGCCCATCAGGACTGGCAGCACCGCCACTGCCAGCCCTGCGTCGCCGACACCCACCATGTTCCACGCCGCCCCCAGGTGGTCAGCGCACATCATAGCGAGCGGTCGAACTCCCAGTCGAGGGGACAATTTGCATATTAAGCTCTTATTATATAGGATAGACAACACCCCCCAAACGTTTTCATCACTAGTTACTAAATGAGCTGTCAGGACAGGCTCATCAGTTCATTCACATTGCAATCGTTTCCACAGATAACACATGACTAATGCCCTGGAGAGGCTCAGATCAGACTGGCAGGACATAAATCCCACCACATCGGCACAGCGCAGTGTGGCCATGCAGTCACAAACTCCTCTGTGAGCACGAGGGTAGAGATGCACTGATAGAATATATTTTTACTGATTTCAGAGAGGGAGGAGGGAGGGAGAAACATCAATGATGAGAGAGAATCATGCATCGGCTGCCTCCTGCACGCCCCCTACTGGGGATCAAGCCTGCAATCCAGGCCTGTGCCCTTGACCTGAATCGAACCCAGGCGCTTCAGTCCACAGGCCAATGCTCTATCCACTGAGCCAAACCAGCTAGGGCTGCACTGATAGAATATTGAAAAAATAAAGTGGAAATGAGGTATTAAATTGTTGGGTTTTATCTCTAAAGCTTTTATTACCCATGATTATGGATTTTTCACAAGCACATTTTAAAATAATTTTTTAAAGGCAATCTAATAAAGAACCCCCAAAATAACACATTTAGCTATTCCATGGTGTACAATTTTCTCACCTAAAATCCAATGGTGTTGACTAAAACCTCTCAGTTCAACAGGTACGAATATATGAAAACTCATTTTGTTGCAAACATCGTGGAAAAGGTGGACCGGTTCCCACAGCTCGGGACCTGGTACCGGCCTCGTGCTGCCACCTGCTGGCGCCCCCGTTAAACTGCGGCTCAGCTGTGAGCCAGTGGACGCCCGCTCACCTGGC